TCATGCATATCATTTCTTGTTTGTGCTCTCTCGCTCTCTCTCTCTCTCTCTCTCTCTCTATCACAAAACTCCCACAAGGTGCGTCATGGCTACTGTGCTTGCCTCCCAATAGATTCTACTAACCGTGTCTCCACCTCCTCTATGGTCTCAGGCAATGGCACGTTGAGCGTCTCGGGCAGGAAGGTCGCTGCAATGCCGGAGATGATTGGGGCAGCTCCATAAATGATCAGTGGCAGGAAGGGAATGTATTCCTCCAACATCTTCACCAATGGGGCAATGATGCTGCCCAGACGCGCCATGGTGTTGCTCAAACCCATGCCAGTCTGCCTGTGAATTTGAAATCATAACAGAGCTATTAGCATAAGCAACAGTGATGAGAAAAATCTGGGCTAAGGAGCTCACAGGAACTAAGTCAAGCAGTACTTCTCAGCCAGGCCCTGTGGACTAGTAGAGTGACTAGGGAATCAGGACATCTGGGTTCTTTTCCTTGCTCTGCCACTGACCCACTGTGTAACCTTGGGCAAGTCACTTCCTCTCTCTGTTCATCTCTCTCCTCGCACCCTCAGTCTGTCTTCTCTATTATGATTGTGAAGAGCAGAGATTACTGTCACTATGTGTCTGGACAGCACCTGGCACAATGGGGCCCTAGTCTCAATTTGGGTCTGTGCAGTGCCTTATACAATGGGGGCCCTGATCTCACTCGGGATCTGTGGAGTGCCTGGTACAATGGCGACCTGATCTCAGTCAGGGTCAGTACAGCAGTTGGCACCATGGGGCTCTGGTGTGGTCTCTAGGTGCTAACTTAACAAATGGGATCTTTCCTGGGGGCAGGTTACCACACAAGTGCAGGGTTTCTTGCAGCAGGGACTGAGCTAGCTGGATCTTTGATCTGATGTGGCAATTCCTAGTTCCTAGAAGGGCAAATGTTGGGTGGCTAGACTGAGACACCTCAGAGAGCCCTCACTTTTCAGATGGCACATCCACAGCAATTGCAGAGAATCAGGCCCAGTTGCAGTGTCCTAATGTGGGCATCCCTTGAGGTGCCCAAAATCACTAGTAGAGCTGGTCAGGAAATTGTTTTCCTGTCCCATGATACATTTTGAGATTTCAAACATTTTTCCCATTCTGAATCAGGACGAACCATTGAAATTTCAAAAAATTTTGTGAATTCAACAGAATAAAAAAATCTTGGTTTGGGTCCCTCACATCATTTCATTTTGATTTTGACCATTATGAATTTGTACAAAAAAGAGTTGTTGTTTTCTAATACACATTCCAAAACACAAAGTTGCTTCCAACAAGAAAAAACTGAAATTTTCATTTTGGAAATGTAATTTCCAACCTCCCTTCTTGCCCCCCACCCCCCTCACCCCCCATATTTTTTCCAACCAACCCTTCCCATTAAAAGCTTTGGCTTTGATGAAATAGCTTTTTCCGTCAGAAAAATACATTTTGATGAAAAATTCCCAACCAACTCTAATCACTAGTCACTTGTCCCTGGTCTTTTGCTGTTCCACGGGGCTGCATGTGAAGTTTGAGCTGCACCCTCTGAGTTTTTTCTACATACCTAATCACTGTGGGGTACAGCTCACTCGTGTAGAGGTAGACACAGTTAAAGGAGGCAGCAAGACAGCCTTTTCCAACGACAGCCAGAATGGTGCGCAGGGTCTTCAGATCTTGGGAGAAGCACACAATGGAGGAGGGGTAAGCAGGTGGAAAAAGGCTGAAATGCTCAAGAAGGATCAGGAGCCAGTGGGATGTATCCCCAGCCACTGGTGCTGATGGGGCCAGATCCCCAGCTGGTGTAAATCAGCATAGCTGCACTGGTGCCGATGGGGCCAGATCCCCAGCTGGGGTAAATCAGCATAGCTGCACTGGTGCCGATGGGGCCAGATCCCCAGCTGGTACAAATTGGCTGTAACTCCATTGGAGTCAGTGGAGCCAAATCCCCAGCTGCTCCATTAAAGCCAAAAGGGGCAAGAAATCAATGGAGCTGGGCTAATTGACACCAGCTGAGGATCTGTGCCTCGGTTTGCCATCTAGAAATAAGAGTGATAGTCCTTTCTGTGTTGTGTCTATTTAGATTGTGAGTTCTTTGGGGAAGGGCCTGTCTCTCCCTTTAGGTCTGTGCAGTGCTCGGCACAATGGGGCCCTGATGTCTTCTGGGGTCTGTGCAGCACCTCGCCCAATGATCCAATACTAATAACCATCTACCCAGCTTTCTTTGTGAAACTGGGTCTGTCACCCCTCCCAGACAGCAGCTCATCCACTTCGCAACCATCTTGTAACAGGCCAGCCTGGATCAGGCTGAATATGTGTCTCAGGTTGTTTCATGGGGAAGTGCCATGGGCAACTGGTGTCGTAAACATGTGTCAGCTGCTTCAGTCCCTGGCAGCAGCAGGTTCTGTACCCTGCAGTACCTCAGCCACAGAACACAGCTGTGACGTATCGGTGGGCTTGAGCCCCATTAGCCCTTATGGATCAGCTCTCCTGGCTCTTCTCCCTCCCCTGCAGCTGACCATATCAGCCAGGCTTTGGACCTTTGGTAGGACAAAGGCTTGAACACTTCTGGATCGAACCCTGAAAATCCAGGACACCAAGTAACCACCTTGTGGGACAAAGATGTTGGCTAGGATAGAGAGTCCAGCCAGGATGAGGGTCAAGGCCTGTGTGAACCGGCGCCCGATGAAGCTGATTGTGAGGACTGAGATGAACTTCGCTGGGAAATCAACAGCTCCAAAGACCAGCTGGATCAAGAAGATATTGACACCGAAATTCTGCAGGTCCATGGCCAACCCATAATAGGCAAAGCTGGTGGAGAACCTGGGATGAAGCAGACAGGTATTGATGCATAGAGAGTCCTTATCATTGAGTTTATTTGTAACAAGCACGTTCCCTTTCATCAATAGGCCCTGCAAATGTGTTTAGTGGTTGGAGTCAAGACCCCTGGGTTCTCTTCACTGCTTTGGGTGGCAGTGTAGTCTAGTGGGTATTCTGCACTGTGTTCTGTTCATGGCTGTGGGAGGGGATTAGAGTCTAGTGAGTTAGACTGGGGAGCAGCTGGGAGCCAGGACTCCTGGGTTCTATTTCCAGCTTTGGAAGAAGAGTGGGGCCTAGTGGTTAGAGCAAGAGGGGACTTTGCTCTGTTGTTAACTCTCAGAGAGGAATGGGGGCCAATAGCTAGAACAGGACACACTAGGCACCAAGGATTCCTGGGTTCTTTTCCCAGCTCTGCACATGGAATGTATCCTAATACTAGGAATAGGTGACTATAGGAACCAGGACTCCTGGGTCCTATTCCTGCTTCTGGGTAGAATCATCTCCTGATGGTTTTCTCTACCTGCTGTCTCCCAAGTGGGATTTACCGAAGTCTAGCTATAACATACTGAATTTTGATCTCGTGGGATATTCAATCGAGATGAAATTGACTGTCACTGACATGCCATGGGATGAAGTGGAGCGTCAGTGGGGCTTAGTAGAGCTGAGCAAAATTTTTCATCTAAAACATTTTTCAGCACAAAATGCAGACTCAATGACATCAAAATGTTTAGGGAATTCATGTCCCTTTTGCTGAATTGTTTCAGATAAAGAAAAAGCCCCACAAAACCAAAACAAAACAAAATCTAAATGTTTTCAGTTTTGGTTCAAAACGAATGTTTGTCTCAAACATTTCTTTAATTTTATTTTAAAAAATCTAAAATATTTAAAATCAAAACAAAATGTTTCACTTGAATCTTTTTTTCAACTTTTTGATTAGTCAAAAATTAAGAAAAAAATGGTTTTCTGTTTAACGCTAAATGATTTTTGTACTGATTTTTCGGAATTGCCTGCGGGTCAGAAAATCCATTATTTGCCCCATTCCTCAGCAAATTGTCGTCCCTGGTTTACTTGCTGCAGGCTGCTTCATGTCATAGTCTCAGCTTCCTCTTTGTGCAAGCACAAGAGCCGACTAACCATACAAAGCAGAGGCAGAAGGAGATCCGGCGTACGACAGGGGTCCGCACCAGGTCGATGAAGGTATAGCTGCTCTTTGCAGAGGCTATTTCTTTCTGCATGTTGGATCTCAAGACCTGGGGAGAGAAGAGAATTCTGGGTAACGGCATGGGGCCTCCATGGTGGGAAAGGCCTGGAAACAGAGCAGGGGAATGGGAGGGAATAAAATTCCAGATCATCCAGTGGTGCCAAAATTCTAGTTTCAGAGGAGGCCTCAGTCTAGACAAAATAATGCGTATGTGTAGGAACGGATGGATGGATGGAGAGAAGGGTGTGCATGGGGATGGATGGATATTTGGATGGATAGAAGCATTTTTATGGGGATGGATGGATAGAGAGGTGTCTGGGGGGGATGAAAGATAGATGGAGATGAATAGAGATTATGTGTATGAGTATATGTTTATAAAAGATAGGTGTTTATGTCTAGAGATGGATACATAGATGGCTGGATAGGTGGTTATGTATGTACGGCTGTAGGTAAAGAGATTGATAGACGATACCTTGTACATGTGGGAATCCCATTGTACGAGAAAGAAGTCAGACCATGGTGAGAATGCCATTGCTCAGGGAACACTAAAGCCAGTTGCGCCACTGGTGTACATGTGCAGAGTCCCCATGACATGAGTGCAACCAGGCTGATTTATATCTGCTTGTCTCCTGTGTGTATATCGGCCGCTGGAGTTGGTGGGAGCTCTCAGCCTCTCTGAGATCCAGTCTTACCTCAATGTTGAGTTTGTCTCCTTCTTCTTTCTTCCGGTTTATCCTGGCCACTCTCTGGAGCTGTTTCACTGCCTCGTCGGGTCTGCCGGCTATTACCAGCCAGCGGGCGGACTCAGCGAACCACCTGGGAAGCAGAAGATATGAAAACACACCTGCACAGAACACGTGCATTGCTCTTGTTGAACTGGGATCAGCCCCACTGGAGCACGGTGCTGTTCTTCTACACTAGGGGCAGTGCCCAAAGCCAGTGCAGGGTACAAGCAGTGACAGAGGCAGCAGGGAGCATGTTGTGGAATAGCCTCCGTGGAACCTGCATTCTCTGGTCTATCTCCTCCCCCCTGCTACCTGCAGCCCCCTGGCGAAAGCCAAGTGTTACTGCAACCTGAGCCTCCATTCCCGCCAGGAGACTGCCCAGTGGCAGCAGATGGTATTGCACCTTGCCATGCATCAGGAAGGAAGGATGGTGATAGCCTAGACATGACTTCAATTCCCTGCTCCCCTGTCACTTAGTCTGTCTCTGTGTCTGAATCCCCTCATCTGTACAATAGGGTAATAGCACTGCTCTCCCTTAGAAGGGTGTTGTGGTTACAGCTGGTCAGCACTTTTCTGCTGAAATATTTTTCCATTGAAAAATACGGGTTTGTTCAAACTGAAACTGTTTGCAGGTAAAGGTCAGTTTCAATGAATCTCTTGATTTAAAAAAAAAGAAAAAGTTTCAGAATTTGTCCTTTGTCAAAATTAAAAGTTTCAACAATTTTGATCATTTACACTAAAAAAAGGGGGGGGTGGAGGTGTTAAAAAATAAACAAGCCCTGAAGACCCAGTCATGGGGCAGAACCCCATTGCCCCAGGTGCTGAACAAAAAGACAGTCGATGCCCCCAAACAGCTTATAATCTAAGGACAAGACAAGCAACAAAAGGTGGATACAGACAGAAGAGCACAAGGAAAAAGTGAGACAATATTGGTCAGCATGATAGGCAATGGTCTCTGCACACCAGCAACCTAACCATCGTCAGGGTTTTTTTTTAAGCCACACAGCAAAGGAGAGTTTGAAGAAGAGTTTGAAGAAGGACAATGAGGTACCTTTGCTGATGTTTACAGGGGAACTCCTCCCAGGTATGAGGGGCAGCATGATAGAATGCACAAAGGTGCTTGTTTGAAAATTTAGCAAGCGGGCAACGGAGGCAGGCATTCTGTACCACTCGGAGTTGGGAGTCGGCATTGTTCTAATGAATGAAAGATGGGATAGGTATGGTGCAGTAGGGCATGAACGGCTTTGAAAGTGAAGATGAGTAGTTTATGTATGATGTGATGAAAAACAGGAGCCAGTGGAGGGCTGCAAAGAGAGGTAACATGGACAAAGCGATGAGACAGGGAAATGATCTTTGCAGAAGTGTCTTGAATGGATGTAAGTGGAGCAAGATTGCATTTGCCAAGGCTGGAGAAGAGGATGTTGCAGTAATCGAGATGCAAGATTCTGAGAACTAGGATAAGAGATTTGTTTATTCTACTTGCTTAAAGTTTGTCTCATTCCTGCATCCAGTGAGAAAAGCAGGGTGGGAGGGGAATGGATCAGAAAGGATAAGGGTGAGCTAACCTACCAGGAGTAGATGAAGCAGATGAAATAGGGCAAAGACACCACAAGCTGCAGCCAGCGCCAACTGGGGATGGCGTAAGCCACCCCAGCCAGAATGCACTGCCCGATTGTGATGCAGTATCCATACATGGTGCCCACAACGGCCCGTGTGCGGGTGGGTGTCCATTCCACAGCTGGGGAGAGACACACACAAAGGGAAAATAATCTCTCTGTCCTTGGGCTGATGACCTCCAGTGGTGAGAACAAGCACGAGCGGAGGCAGCAGGAACATGTACAAACAGCCTTCCCCTGGCTCTTTGAGGCTGAGATGAAATAGCTCCCCAGAACCTGCATTCACCAATCCATGCCTCCTTCCCCTGCTAGTTGCATCCCACCTAGTGGTAGTAGGTGGTACTGCACCCTGCTGGAGGCACTCCATTCCCCCTCGCCATGGCAACAGCCAGTACTGCACCCTGCAGCAACTCCACCCCCTGGTGGCAGCAAGCAGTACTGTACCCTGCAGGGATACAGCAGCACCAGTCCCCCAGTGGCAGCAAGCAGTACTGCCCTCTGCAGGGTTGCAAACACTCCAGAAGACCCCGCAACGGCAGCAGGCTGTAGTGTACCCTGTAGGGTTGCAGCAGCTCCAACACCCCACAATGGCACACTTATGCACCCTGAAGTACATCAGCCACAATACACAGCTGTTATGTAATTGAATAGTCTGAGTCCCATTAGCCTCTGATATCCAGCTGCCCCTGGGTCCTCTAGTTCCTAGAGGACTTGTATACATTGTATAGTGCAAGGGACTGTCTAGTAATGAGGAGGGCATTCTGCAGCTCCTGGCTGATGCACATGGCCTGTGTCTGTTCTGTAGAAGACATATTGTGGAATATCTGTTCTGTTGTGAATCATCGTCATCTGATGACGGCACTCCACTCTAATAGCTTCCCTTCCATTCTTGGGGACTGTAGGGGTTCATCCCCCTCAGGGGCGGCTGGGAACCAGGCCGCCTCACTTCTTAGGTCCGGTGAGTTGGGGAATTAGCCTGGCTGTGCGGCAAACAGTCAGAACCTCAGGCTCTCAGGCCGAGGCTGAGCAAACAGTTTTAGAACAGCAGGCCCAGGCCCTGGGTCAGGGCGGGGCAGTAGAGAGTCTGTAGCTCAGGCCTTCAGGCAGGGGCTGAGCAGACAAATAAGTTTGCTGCATCAGTGGGGATCTTGACTGCAACACACTGACATTGGCTCTGGGTGTGCTGCAGCCAGACTAGGGTCAGCTGGCCCCGGGCTACTTCCTACCTCCCCAACTAGAGGTACCTAGTCTGGACAGAGTCTTCCAAGGACTCAAGCACCATGGGCTCCTCTGGGTACCCGGCGGGCAGTAGGCTTGGCAATTCCTCTGGGTAACTTGCCACAGACGACTTTACCAGCTTCTCCGGGGGCTGGTCGGTGTCTGGCCAGTTCTCGGGTCAGCCACAAACTGCAGGAGTCTCCCAACCGGGAGCTAGGCCACAAGTGTCTCGCTTCTCCGGTGGCCAGGCCTCTAGTGAGCTCAGGGGTTGAGCTTTTGTACTTCCTGTCCTGCGCCCTGACCTCTGGGGGGCGGGCGCAAGCTCCACTGGTTTCACCCACTTTGGCGTCCGGAGGGGCTCGTCCTCCTCCGGGATGGCTGGGAACCAGGCCGCCTCACTACAGGGACCTGCATGCTATTGGAAGCTGCCCTGTTTTGTGGCATCTCCTGTGCTCTGGCGCTGCAGAAGCACACGGAGGTGCGATTGTCCCAGAGAACTCAGTTCTCGTTTAGGTACCACATTCTCAGAAGAGGACAGGCTCAGATTTCGAGGTGCAAAATACCTCCTAAATAACGTGCTCAGATCTTTGTCAGCTGTAGCAATCAGTGTTCCAAAGGGAGCTGCTGAGTGCTTTGGTAAATCCAGGTTGGAATGGGACCTAGGACTTTTGGAAAATCTAGCTCCCAATCTTTGGTGCTGAGATCTTGGACATCCCACCCATGTGGTGTGTGCTTCTGGTCTCTGTGCTCCCACCACAAAGTAATTTATCAGCAGCGGGAACAAGGCACCTCCATCCATCCCCAGTAACCAGCTCATCTTGTGTCTGGGATGGCAGGCGCCAGACACACTTACACAGAGAGACACCGTTCATCACAATGCCCGAGAAGGCCATTCCGGTCAGGAAACGGAAGATGCAGTAGGCAGTGAAGCTGGGCGAGAAGGCAGTGCTGGTGCCCGTGACAGCCATCTGCAAATTGCACCAGATCAAGGGAGACCTGCGGCCAAACCTGAGCCAAAAAGAACCAAGAGAACACATGAGGGAAACCCAGGATACTGAGGCAAGTGTATTCAGAGTAGGAGTTAAACCTGGTGCAAGGAACTATTGGTGCCATTGACTGGCTTGGGGAAGGGGCAAAGAGGCAGGAGGCCTCAGTTCTAAAACCAGCTCTGTGGCACATGACAAAAGGTTATTGATGAAAATACTTCATGTCAGCCGTGCTGTAGCTGCTAATGATGAGGCCTGCAGGGCTGGATTAAGGCAATCTAGGGCCCTGGCAGTAGGGTTATCCCCTGGCTGGTATTTGACTGTTAGAAAAACATGCAATCTTGAGTTCAAAATCTCAAGGGCTGGAGAATCCACCACAGCCCTTGGGCTGTTGTTCCAATGGTGAATTCCTTTTGCTGTTAGAAATTTGCACCTTATTTCCAGTCTGAATTTGTCTAGCTTCAGTTTCCAGCCACTGGCTCTTTCTCTGCTAGATGGAAAAGCCTCTTATCAGATTGCTGCTCCCCGTGTAGGTACCTATATTAGGGTTACCCTATTTCCACAAGCAAAAAAGAGGACACTGCGGGGGGGAGGAGCCCCGCTCTAGCCCCACCACTGCCCCACTCCCATCCACTCCCTCCCACTTCCCACCCCCTGATTGCCCCCCTCAGAACCTCCAACCCCCCCCCAACTGTCCCCTCCTGGGACCCCTGCCACTAACTGCCCCCTAGGATCCCACCCCCTAGCTAAGCCGCCCTGCTTCTTGTCCCCTGACTGCCCCCTCCTGAGAACCCCCTACGACCCTACCTGTCCCGACCCTTATCCACACCCCCACCCCAT